ACAGTGATCCAGGCGGAAATGAAAAGATAAACTACAAATTTGGTTTTTTTGTTGTTTCTATTTTTTTTATATATTTTTGTGCCACTAAATAAGGTCTAATCTAGATACACACAAAAATCACAAATTATATTCAATCAAAGAGAAATTTATATTTTACAACATTTTTTACATTTTAATCATCTCCATTCTTTTTCAACTTTTTTTTTTTGCTCAGAAGTTTTCAGAATTTACTATTTATATAGACAAATTTTAGACAAATTCCAATTGATTTTGAAACCAAATAATATTTCAAATATAATTATTTTTATCAATGTTTTTTTTAAGTCTAATTTTTGAAGAAGAAAATCCAAGATCTCAATAAATCATAATCATTAGACAATAAATAATCAAAGTTTCACTAATTTTCAAATAAACGATATTTTTTGGCCATAAATTTCCAAATATTGGAAACATCAACTGAAAAACAAGAACTTAATATTTTTCTAAACTGGAAATTTTATTGGAATCTAAAACTTCTGAGCATTTTTTTTTCTTTTTTAGCTTTTTTTGTTTGAAATAACATAGATATAACCTGTTACCCAAACCCAAAACCTAATAAAAACAATAAAACATATAATCATAGAGTGGATCATTCATAGAAATATTTCATTAGAAAAGATACCAGGCATGTACTTATAGAACTTGTTGATTGACTGTTTTCAATGGCTCACTGTTAATGATTTGAAAAATTTGCCAAATTTACAAGTAAAACTGTTTGAAGGCATCAAATTATGCATATATTTTCTTTAGAATGGTATTAATTTGTAAATTTGTATATCTATATTTGATTTTTTTGTAGAAAATTTGAAGATAATTTAAAAGGCTGTGTTTTATCCACACAGAAAATATACCAAATGAAATTAGAGTAATGTCTAAATCTGAGCTCTGACTGGCTAATACTCTGATTAAACTCAGTCCTTAGAATCTGAATCCGTCAACCTCAAAATTCTAGAAATACATGCTGATAACTTTTCTTCTACCTTGGTAAAGAAATTGAGCAAATTAGAGAAAGAAATTACAACATATTTAATTGAAGAAAGAATTAAAGTCATATTGCCTATTTTTACATTTGATTTGCTCATTTTCAAGTGGTCCAAACCTCTTGGTTGAACAAACCATGCATAAACTCAACCTAAATCAACAACAAACTTAACCACAGAAGTAAGTATAAATGCCAAAGAATGGTTTATTTTTTCCTACCCTGAGATTTTAATGTTAGTTCTTAACATTCTTTTCTGTCCACTTGTATTTCATTGCAAATTGAAACAAGCTGTTCTCAAAACCACTGTCAGCCATAATAGCTCTGTATATGAGTACAATTTTAAGTTATTCCCTGTAATTTCCAGTCATGCACAAACCCTAATGTTCATTGGGCGATTTTAAGACTTGCGATTAAAAGTTTTTTTGAGAAATTGTTTGTAATTCCAAATGACCAGATTGCAAATCTAAATATGAAATATTTTCCTTCTAAAATTTATAGTAATAAACTTAAGTTCCATTTCCAAATTTTATAAAAAAAATTGTAACTTTTTTTTTTTTTAATCTTAGATGAGATTTGAATAAATGTGGAAATTCATGTGTCAAAATTCAACTTGACACCAATCAATTGTAAAAATTTTGTGCATGGGGCAACAGGTAACTATAAAAGGAACAAACCTAATAATTGTGGTTTCTTACACAGTTATAGTGGCTGAAGACAATGAGTGAGAAAACAACCTGATAATATTTCTATACTATAAAATTTCTATTTGAATAATATTGTAAGCTGGATATATAGATAATGATAAATTGCATAATTATGGTTTTGGTAAATAAGTTAAAAAGAATATATTCTTCATTTACATCATATAATCTAACTATACAACACTTTGAGACAAACCTTGGACACAAGACAAAACTTTACTGATAGACACCTTCCAGGAAAATGGCAGAATAAATGTTAGCTCTGTCTATTGACAATATCCAATATAAGGTAAACCTTTTGAATAATTTTGTGTGCTTTAATTAATTAGACGCCAAATCTTTCACATTAAAAAGAGATGTGAGAAGCTGAAAAAGGACCATCAGTCAGTCAAGTCTTAAATAAATGATGTACCTGGGTTTATTTGTCATGCTAAAAGTTTTGTAATAGTTTCAGTCTGTCTCACTCAAAGTGTATAAATCTTAACTGGAAATAAAGGACTACAATCTGAGTCCAAGTCTAAAAGGGAGTGACTTTCCCCTTATTATCTTCTTTCATTCTAAAAACTAAAATAACAAATTCCAAAACTTGGATAAAATGCTGTAAAAGACCTTATAATATAAATGTATGACAATGTATCACAAATAGCTCTGTAGAAATTCAAAACTTTTTAAATTTCTCTTTTGTCCACATTTTATTTCTGTAAAGAGCTGTTCCTGACACTGTCTCTACATGTCATGCACATAGCCAGTGCAATATCAAGAAGACCTCAATGTTCATTATCTAAATAGGAATAATATAAGGCACAAACAACAGGTTTTTAAATCCATCGAATTTAAACCCAATTTTGCCAAACATTTAGCTTATTTTCAACGATATATGAATTTATCATTCTTAATATGGTATATTATGCAATTTTCTCCATTATATTTGCGGTCTTGTAGTGACATTAGATCAATGTTAAAGGTATACTTCCATCTAAATATTGCCTTACAAGCTGATACGAGTTCAATTTCATTTGATTTACTTAAAAGAGATAAACTGTGAAAGAGAACTGCCACCTTCTGGAAAGTGATACAGTTGACTAAAATTGCTTTCATTGAACGAACATCAGTTGGTAAGGAAAATATTTAGACGATTTTATCACTTCAACAAGAGTCATTATTGGCTTCACTAGGCAAACCTTTTCCGTTCATCCACACAAAACCGTATCTAAAGTAAAGTCTCAACATATTTTTTTAACCACTGGGTCTACATATAAATCCTAATTTGAGAGATATAAAGAATTTCATTTGTATATATTCCTTTATACGTAACAATATAATAAAGGTCTGATTTTTAATTTATAATTATATTTATATACGTTATATACACTATATACAAAAACTCAACACCATATAAGGGCAAAAAAAAGCTAAACTACGATTTTTAAAGAAAAAATACATCCACAATTGTAAATAATACAAGAAAATAAACATAAGATATATCAGCATTTTCAGAAATTTAATATCTTTGACTTCGACACTTAGCACAAAATTATCGCCTTTCGAAAATTGACTTATTGTTCCAAATCTAAAGATAATCAAATCTCTAAAAAATGTCTAAAATCAGGAATATGCCTTATTTTGATTGTACACATAAATATCAAACGAATCGGATATAAACGACGAATATGTTCGAAACAAATTTCCTTTTTTCATTTTTCAAGAATAAAGAATTTGAAAGACACACTAGAGTTGAAACGAGATAAATGATAAAAAAAATACAGTTCCTATATATAGGGGACATAAAATTTGAAATTCAAATTAGACAACACTTTTAATTGGTGGATTTAATTAAGAAATGACCAATGAAAAACTTGGACTCATCTAAAATGTGTTTCCATAGAAACAAGCACTTTAAAAACAAACATAACAAAACAACAAGTTTGCACCAAAAACAAATGCAGGGAATTACACGATTCAAGAATGAAAAATAACATGGTTTTAGAATGAGAAGATGGTACAGCACTATTATAGATTTTTGGTAAAGGAATTTGATTGTTTATGTAAGAAAAATGACGTGGAATTGATACTGACTGGTCGTAGATGAAGTTAGTATATCATCAAACTAATCATTAGTTCAATTGGGATTATTTTCTTCACCATGAAAGATGAATAACATGAGATATGATTTGACCAGAAAATGCAGTCAGGTTTCCAATTAAATTTGTTTTTAGATATTCAATTGGACAACGAAATGCTTGAAAATATTTTATTAATGGTTGACCATGAACCATGAATTTTGGATTTTCTATTGGTTAATTTTTCTAGAATTAGGGCCCTAGATCCAGTTTATATTTTGAATAATACCTTGTGTGAACAAATATCATAGCTCTGCAATATTTCTACATGTATAGACTAGAATTAATAAGCCAATAATATACTGGTATAGGTCCTTACACAGGATCAATTATATATGAAAAACACACCGTTAATTCACAGGATAAATATATAGCCAGTAACAGGAGTAGTTTTAGCCATTTTAGTCTACAAATGTTTCATTCTTACTCACTTAATTTAAATTGTCTTTTACAATATTTAAATTTTTCATTTCTCATTCTTTAATTTCTATTCCAAATTTTAGATTTCTTTCTATACCATATTATTAGAAATATTTTATCTTTGTTAAGAACAATTTTCTTTAAGAATTAGAATCAGAACTTGAGCAAGTAATTTCTGACAATGTGCCATTTCACATTTGTTTTCTCACCTACATTACAACATGGGGAAAACCTTACTTCTCACAATAGTCTAATCCTACCTCACTTTCCCTTTTTGTATGTATGATAGATAAACATGTAACTTATACATAAATGTTATGTATTACAATTCTTACATTCAAATATAACATACTAAACACAATATTTTCTTATCAAATTTGAAAGAGAATTTCCATATTCTTTGAATAATTTTCACATTTTAACTTTCATTTTAATTTGCCAAATTCAAAGTTGTGCGAAATATTTAGCTATATTGGAATCTGCATCTCAATAATATAATTTGCCATATTATGCTGTCACAACACAAGATTAATCAATTATGAACACACAAAACTTAATTAGCGATTCTAAGTTTAAAACCACAAGTAAAACAAGCAGCCACCCCCTAAATTAACAGCTGTTATCTCCCCTGGTTGAAAAAAAGGGTTTTAAAAACATAAAATGAAAATCATAACCACTAAAGGAAGTATGGTAGAGTTGAAGAAAATAAAGAGTGGTCCAATGGCTATTAAACCTGTCCTACGATTGGCTGCTTGATGCCTTCGTCTTCTCTGTTGTGCCTTTTGATTGGCTATCCTGATTTGAATCCTTGCCTTGTGGTTGGTTGGCTTTTTCTGGTTTTCCAACATCTGCCTCTGGCATCTGTAATGTTACAAGTGAAATATAAAAGATAATATCTTCCAGCAAAAGTTAAAAATAGAACCTGAATTTCATCAATCAATATTCATTTAACACAACATAAATTTGTTTATCGAACATGTGTCGTTATATCTCACTTTCTTCTGTCTTCAGATTGTGTTTGGTGTATGTGAATGTTGTCATCATACTAAGTTTAAACAGAGTGGTGCATGATTCATCATTAGACAGTTCTCACTTAAACAACAACAATATGGTTTTACATTTATATAACTTTGTGCAGACCACTCTAGCAAATTGAGCACTTGCAACATGTGATACAATCTAGGACACAAAAACTTCACGAATCTGATGGTATCTAATGTGAGGATTTATATCCAACTGATCTACACCTAATTACTAATATTGTGGGCACATGAACAGTCTTTAACACCTTTTTTTGTTGCAGACGTTTATCTGAAGTATAATTTTAAGTGTGCCCACGCTTCCACATCAAGATTATTGCGTTGCCAACAGGACTTATGATATCTGCAACATACCAGATTGATACTTTTTGCCGATTGTTTTATCGCCTGCTACGGTCTGCATGAGAGAGAGTTATCATCCAATCATATTCATTTTCCTTTCAATTGCATGATCCAGTGATTAGCTGGAAAAAGATTGACTGGAGATTGTTTGTCTCCTGTGTGCCCACAATCGGTCGCTGAAACACTTGACAAGTCTAGTCAGCAACAAAAATCGCCGACCAAGACCGTTGGCGTGCCTGCACCCTAAGGAATGTCATACCAAAGATAATCAACTACATACCTCTACTCTAAAATCTGATAGTCTCTTGTATCCAGACAACCAGCCTTTTAACTTTTCATCTATTTCTACTGGACGTCGAGAATATTTTAAAAAGGCCCAGAATTTCTCCAAACCATACAATTGACCTGGAGGTAAAAATTAATCAATTCACATGTAAGTAAATTTACTACTGAAAACTGATGTTGAAAGGTGAGGATCCTTACTATCCAGTTGGCTACATCAAATATTACTTTCAAACACAGGAAACTCAAATTATAATTGTGATTTTTAATGCGTAAGATTCAATGTTTTTTATATCAATTGATATTTTCAAGCAATCTATGTCTTAAATATAAACAGCAGCTACAAATAAATCGAGAGATATGACATCTGATAGGGTACATTTATATAGAAATTATGGCCACTTCACAATATAACAAAATTTGTCTTCAGACTTGGTTTGGTTAAAATATAGTCATCATATTCTACAGATAACAGTTAGTCATCATTAGACTAGTATATATTGTAGATTAACATAATACCAGTCAAATACGAGGTTATGGCCCAAACTGGAGCATTTGAGGCATTTAGAGAAAGATTGTCTTCAGACTTGGTTTGGTTAAAATATAGTCATCATATAATACAGATAACAGTCAGTCATCATGAGACAAGATATAAAGGTAATGAATTAAGAGTTTAGGTCCTATCTTTGGTTCCTGTTTGTGCTAGTGAAATGAATTTTGGCTTGGGTTTAATTAATGAAAACATTTAATGCAACGTGTTAACATAATGCAGTGTGTTTCAGGGAAATCTTGCAAGAGTTTAGCAAATAAATATTCATTAACAATGATATGACATGTGTGCAATACAAAATTTCTGAGAGTTAAATAAATATTTACCAGATTCATAATCGCGTATCGTATCTTCCTGGAAATCTTTGAAAACTTCCAGTCGGAATCGTCTCTCTAAACCGTAACTATAGAAACGGAACATACACTCAAGTCCATATCTGAAATAATGAAAATCGTAATCATAATTAACTGTTTTATATTCTACTGTTTATAACAACTTGGGACTTTAGAATCACAGGGACCATCTCGAGCATCCTAGGCGAGCAGTAGAGACCAAGACCTTTTTTTCTCAATACTGTTCAAGTGATCTTTTGCATTCATCGGCTAAGGGGTTTAAAGAAATTCTGTCTTCAGATTGGTGTTTGGTGTATGTGAATGTTGTCATCATACTAAGTTAAAACAGAGTGGTGCATGATTCATCATTAGACAGACATTTTGGTTTATCTGAAGGTTTAGACATAATATCTATGTCCAACCAGCATCAGTGACAGAAGAAAGGTGACCTTGCTTAGCCATCACAGCTCCCATACTAAAGAAGAAAATATTTGATCAAAAAGTATCCAACACCTACCTATAGCCAGCTTGAGAATCTTCCCAGGCCAAAGTGCGAAATTCTTGGAATATTTTTCGGTTGTAGCGTTGCCGTAAGAAGAAAGACCAGAAACGGAATAAAGTATTCATCTCTTGTGACACTCCAACTCCTAACTTCTTTCGTTCTGGAAAATTAAAAAAAAACAAATGAAATGGAATAATTTTCGACAGTCCTACCCCTTTTCTTTCCCCCCTGTACCTATTCGCGTTTTTAAAATAATAGAAAGAGTGGTACAATCTTCTTTTCTGCATTTCATTAAAATAAGCAGTGTGCAACAAGGTAAACTTAATAACAGAAGACCTCATTTCTGCAGGATATATCAATATACCAAAAAATAAATTGTCTTCAGACTTGGTTTGGTTAAAATATAGTCATCATATTATACAGATAACAGTCAGTCATCATTAGACTAGTATAGAGTAGACTAACATAATACAAATACAAGATAGTGGCCATCTTGGATCATTCAAGTTATTGTAGATTATAATTTTGTCTTCAGACTTGGTTTGGTTAAAATATAGTCATCATATAATACAGATAACAGTCAGTCATCATTAGACAAAAAATTTTCAAGAGCAAACAACGCTTTTAACATTTTCTCCAGGTGGATTGATTTTATATCGTGCATAATATCTATGCGAAATTAATGGGCTTTATATGTATCTTTAATAAATAAAGGGTTGATAATAAGATAACTTTTAAGACATAGAGATTTCAACAACCCACATTATTTCGACCATCCCCAACCTTCCACCTCCAAATAAGAAAGAAGTTATTGAACCGGACCTACCTTTGAGACATTTAGCGTGATATTTTTGGTAAACGTGCCACACAAAGCCATTTTCTTTTAACAGCTGATGTGAAGGATGTTCGAAATGAGGGAATGACTGAGGAGTGCTGCCATAGCTTGACGACAGAGGAGCATCACTGAAAAAACAATTTCCACCATTAAATTTCTGGCATTATGGGAGTCTGGCTCAATTTCACACACACTTTCAAAACATTGGGTCCTGTTTTCATACACTTTTTTCAGAAGTGGGGTATTTCCCCAATACAAGTTCCCCAATAATTGGGTTGAAGCTATGTCCGGGTCAAACCCAAGATCCAAAAGATTTGATTGTTGAAAAAGCAGAGATTTTTAAGTGTTGACAATCTTTTTTAATTTCTGTCTTCAGATTGGTGTTTGGTGTATGTGAATGTTGTCATCATACTAAGTTAAAACAGAGTGGTGCATGATTCATCATTAGACAGAAATTTCCTTCAAAACAAAGACCTAAGATATCCTAGTCCTATAGTCATCAAAGGGCCCAAAAAATCAAGAGGACTAAAGAGAACTGTCTTCAGATTGGTGTTTGGTGTATGTGAATGTTGTCATCATACTAAGTTAAAACAGAGTGGTGCATGATTCATCATTAGACAGAAATTTCCTTCAAAACAAAGACCTAAGATATCCTAGTCCTATAGTCATCAAAGGGCCCAAAAAATCAAAAGGACTAAAAAGAACTGTCTTCAGATTGGTGTTTGGTGTATGTGAATGTTGTCATCATACTAAGTTAAAACAGAGTGGTGCATGATTCATCATTAGACAGTTTTTGACGTAGACTTATATACAGTCTATAATTGAACAATTTGACAAGTCAAGAACATTGCTTTGAAAACAGCCATTGTGCTATAGATTACAGATGAAATTTGAACTTTGACCTACCTTGAAGAAGAGTTATGTCTAGAACGAGCTTTATGTTCTTTAGAGTCCATCACCCATCCAACATGTCCCTCATACGGTGGGTTGCTGCTGTGTCGTGTCTTCTTCTTTCTTGGCGTCTAAAATACAGAATTCACCGATTAAATTTCAAAATTTAATTTAATCTCAATACCAAATCAATAAAGACAAAAGTTGTACTACTTGTCAAGGCCTTTTTGAGTTATCTAAAGCACAGCCATGCAGTGTGCAATGAAGGAAATATTGGTAAATAGCTCTTCATAAGGTTCTATAGCACAGTCGGTTAGAGTATTGGTTCTTTACATGACGTCAATCAAATGGCAGACTTGGGTTCCTATCTCGATAGGAACGTGAAAGTCACAATTCCAGTCGACCAATCTGTAAATGGGTAGGGATAATCCATGAAAGATCAATGCCAAGAGGTTTGGCCACTGGTAGAAAGGATCCTTAACTGTGAACCCAAGTTGTTATCCTTGTAAAATATAGATAGTTGTTTCTTCTTTTTTTTTTTTTTTTTTTTTTTTTCCATTTCTAATATACACTCTTAGGTTAAGGTCAAGATATTTAGAGTAACTTCTAATCAAGATCCTAAAACAAAGGTGGTAAAGATCCAAGGATGTCTTGAAGGATTTAGGGGTAATGTTCAATCACAGCAGCAGGAAAGCAGATTAGAAGTGGAAAAATAAGCGAACATGACTATTTTATGATTATGTACAAATCTCGAGAAGGCAATTTGAAAACAATAGAATTTCGAGAGTTAACAAGATATTTGAACTGACGGATAGACAGACTGACTAAACACATCAACATACAGAGATGAGATGTGGAGTATAAAAAGGAAGATGGAATCGTACCTGAGGATCTTGAGGTCTTGATGCATCTTTTATCACTGGGAAAAATCGTGGAGCTTGATTGGAATCTTTTCGACTGTGTGGTGTCCTAGGTCCTTCACGTCTACCAGGCGTATCGGGAACACGAGCAGGTAACGATTGAGCCTGGCTCTGACCTTGACCTGAGCCTGGGGAAGACGGTACATTCTTTGGTTCTGAAAAAAATATAATTTAAATTGTTAATCTATTATCAGTTTTATTTTGGTGCTGGGGTGTGATTGTGGTTGTGTTACAATAAAGCCTGTTCCACAATGCACTATCTCAAGTCATATCTTTATATCTTGATTGATAAACGACAGATTCGCCATTGGAATCATTTCACTGTTTTTAAGGTTTTAAATTTAAGTTTTGACAAGCGAGGATATTCTTTTTTCTGATAGCACCCTGAATGAGTTATCAAAAAAATACCAGCATGGAGAGACTCTAATGCTAGAAATTATAAGAAAGGGCAAAGTTGTCTTCAGACTTGGTTTGGTTAAAATATAGTCATCATTATTATACAGATAACAGTTAGTCATCATCAGACTAGTATAGAGCAGACTAACATAATACAAATACAAGATAGTGGCCATCTTGGATCATTCAAGTTATCATAGATTATAATTTTGTCTTCAGACTTGGTTTGGTTAAAATATAGTCATCATTATTATACAGATAACAGTTAGTCATCATGAGACTAGTATAAAGCAGACTAACATAATACAAATACAAGATAGTGGCCATCTTGGATCATTCAAGTTATTATAGATTATAATTTTGTCTTCAGACTTGGTTTGGTTAAAATATAGTCATCATTATTATACAGATAACAGTTAGTCATCATGAGACAAAATTTTATATAATTTAATATAACAAGGGTATACAAAGCTATGATCCTACAGGTATCTCTTTTGCTACATACAAATAAGAAGAGACAAAGAAGAAATTGATTCATATATCAAATTGACCGACCTCGTATACCATGCCCTTTATAAGCAAGAAGTTGTATAAACAGAGCCTTTGCTGTTGAATAGTTTCTTTGAACTAGTTGATAACTTAATTTCAATTTTAATAGGCTTATTGATGCTCAATTTCAAATGAATAGATATAGATGTATACATGCTGTGTATAACCATGCGATTCAATACATTATTTTACAATTCACAGTAAATGTAATTTCTAGTATTAATTAATCAGTGGATTATGCAGATTGACTGCATGACATGTTAACAGCAATACCTTCATGCCACATTATTAATATCCTAGTATTTAAGACTGTCACCACTCTCTCTGTACACAAGATTCCAACTCACCTGTTGTTTGGACTACACATGGTGGTGGAGGGGGCACTTCCTGTTGTATTGTTTCTTTCTGTGGGGTGATAGTTTTAAATTCTTCTTCACTGATAATATTCACATTCTTATACTCATTGGGGTCATTCTGGAAGGAAAATATGACAGAGTTTTAGCATACATGGCCTGGATTTACTGTCCTTTCCAATTACCTATTCCTGCATAACCAGTCAGGCAGCTCAACTGTCTGATAATCATAGGCCATGAAGTATATGTTGGCCATAACATGTCATTCAGTGTTCACGAATTTTTAGGCCTGTGTACAACATGCAAGGAAGAGTTCAATAGAAGAATGAGGGATGTCAAATAGATGATTAGCTTATCATGGGACAAAGAAGTAAAACTATTTTATTATCTTAGAACAAGTAAATGGATAGAATAATGAAAGGAATAACTTTCTGTCTTCAGATTGGTGTTTGGTGTATGTGAATGTTGTCATCATACTAAGTTTAAACAGAGTGGTGCATGATTCATCATTAGACAGAAATTTCCTAACCCTCTTAAACCAAGTCAAAAACAGATTTCTAATTTTCAATTGCAGAGACATTGAAAAGCTTTGTGTTCTAATTTATAATGTTATGTTGTAAATTAATGACACCTTTCAAATTATTGATTATGAAAACTAAAATTCATGCCTACTCTGCAAACATTCCAAGAAAAAATACCATAACATTTTGTCACAAAGTCAATCAAAAATGCAAGAAAGCCCGTTCATATTTGTACTTTCATTTGTAGTGAACACAAGACTTTGTGTTCATTATAAACCCTGGCCTATTATCACCACCTGTCCTGAAAAATTAATTCAATGACAGTTGTTTACTTACCTTATATGATCCATCCCATAAATCTTGCTCATAGTAATACAATCCATCGTTAATTATTTTACCGAAAGTTGTCGTTAATTTTGACCTTGATGTATGATCCCCGGTTCTGTCACCCTGGGGATGGCGCCGTAATGCAGGTGGTGTCTGGGTAACAATTAAAATCTTCGAGATGTCACTGTCAGCTAGCTCATCATCAGAATTATCTGACCTGAAATAGAGTAGGATAGAAACATCAGTAAAGATAACTTGCCAGGCAACGTAATATATGCCCACTGGCAGCTTTGATTTTGAGCTAATGTATACATTTGGACAGATCGACAATGGTGTCATTATACATCCCCCATTTCATGTGGGCTTTTAAAAGTATGACCTGGAATAGTGAGCTCATTGCATGGGTCACTGAACAGCATGCTTCAATCGAGAACATCTAATAAATCTTATACTAACATACATTGTATACATAAAACAATTATTCATTTTGAGAGTATGAAAAAGACTGTTAATAATAATAAACTAAACAGTGCTGTCCTGGCTTTCAGAAGCTATGAATTATATCGTTGAAAATCTTTGGTGCAAAATTTAACAAGGTAAACCTTTGGTGTAAATAATGACCAGAGAAATATTTAGTGTCAAAAATGCGTATGACTAAACTTAGGTTTCATTTAAAACCTTCTCTGGAAGTGCAAATAGATAGAGTTATGAAAGGAATAAATTTCTGTCTTCAGATTGGTGTTTGGTGTATGTGAATGTTGTCATCATACTAAGTTTAAACAGAGTGGTGCATGATTCATCATTAGACAGAAATTTCCTTCAAAACAAAGATCTTAAATATCCTAGTCCCATAGTCATCAAGTCATCAAAGGACCTAAAACATCATAACTACTATCAAGAACTGTCTTCAGATTGGTGTTTGGTGTATGTGAATGTTGTCATCATACTAAGTATAAACAGAGTGGTGCATGATTCATCATTAGACAGAAATTTACTTAAAAACAAAGACCTTAAATATTCTAGTTCCATAGTCATGAAGTCATCAAAGGACCTAAAAAATCATAACTACTATCAAGAACTGTCTTCAGATTGGTGTTTGGTGTATGTGAATGTTGTCATCATACTAAGTTTAAACAGAGTGGTGCATGATTCATCATTAGACAGTTATTTTAAAGAGATTTCTATATTTTATTTAAGATATGTGAAGATCAAGCTCCAATACTTACCAGTCTGTAAAGTTATTTTTTCTACCAACTTCTAGTTGATCCAACTCCTCATCAAACATAAAATCCAGTTCTTCTTGCTCTGGTTCTTCATCATCTTTATCATCCTGCAATATTTACAGGAATTGGAATTAAATGAAATGAATGGAGTTTAACGTCCTACTTTTCAGCACCATGTGACCTAATGATGACAGGTAATGTAATGCAGGGTGAAATGAGGGAAATTTTGCCAGGACTGTCAACAAGCTGATGCACACTGGACCTTGATTAATTATCTAGACTAGACGCTTTTTCAGGCCCTCTTACCTGCATTGCTAACAAAGGGAAACTGGGTTGAAAAATCTGGAGGTATTATATGCTGGGATAAAGATATCATGACATGATGGTATAAATGTAAAGACTAATATAGTCATATTGAAACACATAATGTAATGATATCAATTCTAAATTCATAGTTTTCTACCATATTTGGTATCATATTAGGAGAGTTTTGATAATACAGTAACAATACAATTACTAAATCTTTAATTTCCAATTTCAAATTTTCACAGCCTGTTAGAATCACGTTCTTTTGTTTAATCTGACATATCATTTCTGTCAGTCCATTTGAACAACATCACCGACTGAGAAAGCCAGGTAGAGAGTTCTGAGGGTAAAGTTATTGAATAGACACAGCTTTATGGAACAATAATCACAGGTTAAAATATATCCAAGAATAGTTTAATCAAAGGTTTTAAGAAAACCAGAAATTTTACCTTGGATTTAGGTTTATCTTTAATGTCTTTAGATTTTTTCTTTTTCTGTTTGACCTCCATCCATTCCCCCTGTAACTCTGGGGCAGAAGATGAAAGTACTGGAGGGATGTCTGCTAGCAATTCATTAGTATTTTCTCTGTTATTATTATTCCAATTACTGTCTTCTGTTGAAGTGTGGGTATCTACAATTAAAATGGTATATGAAGATATGGATGATTATTGCTACCTAATCTGGTCTAGCTATAATGAGTTTTTCTCTGAAGGTTACAACATTTTTTTATTGATGATCTGATGGGTTTCCCTTTTACATAATGTTTTCTGCGAAATTTTCACCCACTAGCAAAAAAAGTTTGTGCATACCAATCAAAAGCAGTATAGAAAATTTCTCAAGGTCATTAAAATAGATGTCTAGAAAATTTCTTCGTTTCAACTTCAATCTTTAATGTAAACACATGGCCTCAATTTTTGCCCCTGTCCAATCCAAAGGTATCATCTCAACCAAAACAAATAAGAACCCCTGACTATCAGGATAGCTTGAAAGCTGAGAAGACCTCTCATTAATAGAAATGTAGCTCTCGCTTACTTACCAGGATTTGGGAATTGATATGCTTGACCAGGTACAAATTCAGGAACATCTGCATGTAAATTAGATGATATAACTGGCATGCCATCTATTGGCCATTTAGTAGGTTCTATTGTCCCCCTTATTCTTGTTTCATCCTCGTTTAACTCTACTTTGTCACTTTCTCTCATTGCCTGAAAATATTTCAATATCGTATTTCACAGAGTTTTCACAAGAGATTTTCTATCGTCTTTACGGGTAAAGTTTATATTTAAAGCATTTGGTTTCTAGTCACAAACTCTTGCATCAATTGGATTGAATGTCATTAACCCTTTCAGCCCTAGAAGCCGGTTTACCGGCCACACACTAATGCAATATAATACCGAGCAGCCAGTATACCGATCATAACTAAATGACGTCATCATACGTTAACGTCATACACTTTTAATTTTATTACTTGGAGTTCAGGGTATATGACGTTATTTTTCATTTACACTCAGGGTTTAAAGGGTTAAACCAACACACCAAATTACAAGACAATGAACAAATTCCACAACTAAGTATTACATCGGGTGGTTATATTTTATGGTACATGCATTGCGCCAAACCAAGAAATTGAGCCTTTAAGTATGTATTAAGGTGTAACCTGCTGCAGAAATTAAATGAAATGAATGGAGTTTTACGTCTTACTCGTCTTGTGCACCATGTGGGCTAATGAATACCAACAAAGCCATGCAGGGTGCAATGAGAGAAATTTTGGAAGGGACAGCAGCATTAGCCTGCTCTTTTTCGATTTCCAACTGTCAAGGGATCTTTAACGTGCACAGCCTGTAGCACACAGGACCTCGGTTTATTGTCCCATCCGAAGGACAAGACGCATGTCAGCCCCTCTTACCTGTATCACTGACAGGGGGAAACTATATACATCGCAACTGATTTAAAATTTACCTCTAATATAAACTCTTGATTTTGTGATAAAGCCTGAACTCTGTGGAAATTACCAATTAATGAAACAGGTAACCAGCCTTCTTTGTCCATTCGACGGCGGAGGAAAAAATCTCGTTCTAGATTCTCTTCACTAAAATAATATTCACTGAAACAGAAAGAAGGAAATTAAAATGGACAATTTATTTAGCTGTCAACATACAATATTATATATATAAGAGCACCTGTTAATTGTCCTATTCCATGACTAAAGAATTAAAACATAATTCTCATTTTCAAATCTGGATGTCCATGTTGCTGTTATAGTAAATTGTTCTTCTAATTTTCCAAATTATCTTTGATTTTTATATTTATTTGAATGTTGTTGCCAACAAAGAGTCAGACCTCCTCACTGCACCTGTCAAGACTTGAGGCATGCAATATTTACCCACAGGAATGTCTTGTGCTCTAAATTTTTTTTTTTAAACAATATTTTATTCATATAATAATGATAAGGATTGGGGAACAGGCTTTCGCCTATATACCCCTCTCCTGTGCTCTAAATAATGTGCTCAGTCTGCTCTTACAAAGTTGTAGCAGTTGATATGAAAGTAAAATGTACTTACATCTGTTTTTTAATGAAATCTTTAAGAACATTATCTTCTACAGCTGGTGGTGTAAAATATACAGTTTGATATGGTACATAGTTAGGGTCTACATAGAAACCTTCTGATCCTATTTCACCTCCTATAATAATAACATCACATTAACTATAAACTCTACCCTTGGATTTCAAAATAATGAGCAACCTTTAGGTCTGAATATCAATTAGCCTGCAGTAAACGCCAATCAATAAAGTGGTTTGAAATTTCCTTGCACTTGTACTGACGGCCAAAATTGTCACATCAGCGTACTTGTTTGTCTAAACCTTCACTTATATCTTGAACAAATTTATAAATAAATAATGAACATATTGACTATTACGTATTGCTTTATATATAGCACTTGGTGTTAGATGGTGATGAGAACATAGTCTCAAGTAAAGATTTATGATAAAACAAGGTGCAAGTTAAAGGTTAAGATAATTAGATATGTTAACTATGGATGTCTCTGTATTACTATCTGTGGTAGTTTCACTTGGTTTCATTCAATTTTCATTATTGAGCATCAAAAGCCCCTCTGCCGTCCCTTCTCAAAACATTCACAATGACTGAGCATGTGACCTTCTCATAATCCTATTCAGTGAATGTGATTGCAATAAATCAAATTGTTGGTAGCAGACAACATACACCAACCAGAAACAAGCTGCTCAACAAATTGGACAACTGAAAGAGATAGTGCAAAACAAACTCTAATGTTTAGAAATGCATGTGCAAAGAAGAGTGTGTGGTATCTTACCAGCAAAATCAGCACCAGTATCTCCTGCCCCAGGGACTCCTCGTCCTCTGCCCCTACCACGTCCACCTCTGCCCCTTCCTCTACCTCTACCACGTGGGAAAAATCCTCCACGCCCTTCACCAGACTGGGAACCTGCTATATCTGCTCTCCAATCCTTACTGTCTGAACCTAGGAAAATATCACAAACAGTTTTAATACTCATCAGAGAGAGCTCTTTCTTAGCTCTTTCTTTTCAGAATGGAAATTTAATGTACAGTTCTCCTACAAGTTAACAATATCCAACCACATCAATTCTGACTTTATTTCTGAAAAGGACTATGTATAGCTTAAATCAAGCTCTGTCTCTGAAAAAGTTATTACATGTTCTTACAGAAATACATATGGGAAAGTCACAGAATAACTGACTGCATTTTTCGATTTTTTTGCAAACATGGCTTAGGAGGATTTTGAAATTCTGTCTTCAGATTGGTGTTTGGTGTATGTGAATGTTGTCATCATACTAAGTATAAACAGAGTGGTGCATGATTCATCATTAGACAGAAATATTTCACAATAAACGTTGTTGCCCTCAGGCAAAAATATTATTAAAATTAGGTCATGTTAGGCCTATTTTAAATCCATTACTAACTTGAAAGAACATAAAAATCTTTGAAATTACAGGAAAATCCCCAAAAAGTTACAAACCCTTGTTTAGCTGACTCCTAATGACCTACCTAATCTTTCTCTTTCTCCAGTGCGTCTGCGTGGGTCACCACGTCTGTTGGGTGGTGGTGACCTTCGACCCTGTGAGCGACTTCTTTTAGGGGGTTCTATATCTAATGGTACCCATCTTTGTCTTGAGCCTGGAAGATACGAATAATGTCAGTCAAATGTAAGTTATATCAAAAGTAAATTTATTCAAATTTCCGGAACACCAAAATCTGTAGTGAACAGACTTATTTTAGTATGAAACAAACCCCAATAAGACTTTTATCACGTTTGAAGTACTGGGTATTGCCAATCATGCCACAAAACAATATGCATAGTGATACAAGGGTCTATATCGCAATATGGGGTAATGCATTAAAAATTAACACTTTATCAAAGTTTCAATATTTAGCATGTATTTAATATACAATATTTAGTAGTTTATAGGAGGGGCTAATGTCCACTGTCTTATGTTACCAAGAATTTCAGTCCAGTCAGTGAGAAACACTTGTGATTCCAATTGACGACGAAAACATCCCACTTTAATGGAACAAGACAGGTACCGGGTATCGTCAAGTGACATTACAGGTCGTATGACAATACATGTACTGTCATCAAAACTGTAGCATGATGCATATTAATTTGTGGACACAAATGATGTGTCAGGCCTTAATAGTTATTCAAAATTCTATCTTTTTATTTCATATTTTGTCCTGTTCATCGTTTCGGCTAACTGCCCTCTTCGTTAACAAGACGATAATAATTCTAATTGTTTTCCCCTTTTCTGGGAATTGTGATATAATTTAAGAATTTTACCCTTAGCTCCTCTTTTAGATCCTTTTGGAGTTCTCTGTGCAGGTTCAACTCCATTTCCATTTTCTTTATTCTCTTTAGCAGAGTCATCTCCCCCTGAATCACTCTGTCCCTGGTTACCATTTTGACCTTGGTTACCATTTTGTCCTTGGTTACCACCATTCTGTCCTGGTTTACCATTAGTTGATTTCTTCACTGTATTTTGCGTCTGCTGTAAAAGTAAAATACTGTGTAATAGAAATCTTTTCTTTTAAGAGTTTTCGTGAGAAAATTTACTGCAGCATGCCCTACGTTTCTCTGAAAGTCTAGTTAAACTATTAATATTCAACATGGTAATGCAGTATAGACATTAGTCAAGTGTCGGCCATATTGAATCCAGAAAGAGGCTCTAAACACAAACAATGAAAAGGTAATGTTGTATCACTGCATAAATTTCCACCTTGACAGCTATATCGCCTCCAATCCCACAATATCATCTGATCAACTGTGAATGGCAAAATGGTGGATACAATCTAAGATATTTATTGTTACCGGTGCTATAAAATGTTTATTAAAAAGAGATAAATTTATTCATGAGTTACTTACCTCCGAAACTTCACTTAAAGCAGGCCAACTTTCTTCATTTAGCGAACTCTATAAAATACAAATGAAATGTTGTTTTACATATCAATTTAATGTTCCTGATTGAGCTAAAGAGAAATGAAAATGAAATGAATGGAGTTTTAGGTCCTACTTTTCTGCACCATGTGGGCTAATGAAGACAGGCAATGCCATGCATACAATGCGGCATTAGACTGATCTTTTTTGATTTCTAGCTGTTGAGGGACCTACAACAGAATGTAGCACACAGGGCCTTGGTTATTTGTCCCTTCCGGATTACTAGCACTTTTCCAATGTCAGTCCCTATGACCTGCATCACTGACCGTGAAACTGGGTAGAAAAATCTGAATGTATTATCGTGACCTTGGCCCTTCAGGTTAGCTAGCAAGCGTCTAATTCACTGAGCCATCGCCAGTCCCTAAATATGCAATGAGAGATAATAGCATTGGTTTATTGTCCATTTTGATCACCAAAACACATTTTCATGTTAGCCTTTCCCAACCTGCATCTCCTGACAGGAAGAAATCGTCTGTGCTCTGCTAGACATTCTGTGTTTTTTTATTTAGCAAGAGTTATCCCTGCCTGTCAGTCAGTCAGTCATAAGAGATAACCGAGATTTTAACACTTAGTTTAGGTCCTGGACACCATTTCTAAAAAATTCGTACGTCTGTACTTGCACCCTAAGTGAAGAAAAAACGTTAATTTATAATGTTTTAGCTCGTACATCAAACTACGCTTTTTTTTGGAAACGAGGTATATGGTATATAATTCTTTTTTACCTTTTTATTTGAAGATTTCTCTACATTGTTTGTTACTGGTTGTACTTCTGGTTCAACTTCCACTGAAAAACAGAAAATAATTTTATTAACGTACACCATAAATAATATGATAAAGGAATACTGTAATTAAAGAGCTAGTCTATGGATGCGGAAATAAAATAGCATTATCTCTATATCATATATAATAATATAAAACACATTATTTATATAGAATATCATATTTCTTATATCGAATATATTTTTAAATGATATAAAATATGAATATGAAAAAAAAAACGTTATGTTTTTTTATTGACTTGGCGAGACTGATGATGTTACCTGTATAAATAGATATTCTACTGGTATTGATTGTCACATATTACAACCCATTTACTAATATAGCAAGTTAGCTTTCCTTCCATTCATGACTGATTACATATTAAATGCACATTTGCATATTTGTTTAAGGATAGAGCCTGATAGACTTGGTTCAACCAGTCCATATGGCAGTTGGGCCACTGCATCTCTATTGAAAATCCGCATATGATTCTACACTTCCTTATCACTTCACTTCAAGGACTTCACACCTAGATTTCTCAACTACACATACTTATACATAAATTGACATAACAAATATTTATATCATTAGATCAATTTAACAATGTTGTAGGACATTAGATAAGAGGGACCAGGGGGGCTTAAGAAAGTTTTGTCCCCTCCCCCACCCCCCTGAAAAATTCAGATGACTTAAACGACTGTTGTGTCGTTTAAGTCGAGCCCCACTTCAAAATATTTACCCCCCCTGAGACCCTGAGTTAGTTATGGGCCTGTTGCAGTATCAAAATATTTACATTAGAATTAAACTTAAAGAAACACACCATAGGCATATGCAACTTGCATTCAACTTCTGTTAAAAAAATCTTAATAAAATTATTTATGAATGACAATATTATTGAAGATACCTATCTTCAAGCCATCCCTTACTAACCTGTGTTGACCTAGTTACAAGATATATAAATATATCATTATAAATCAGGATATATGTCACTGTCATATTATGACGTCAATTACATATTTACCTTCAGTTTTTTTTCTTTTTTTTCAATAGTTGGTTCCTGTTGGATATGCTTCAAACCCATTTGCAAATTAACTTTCCTGACAATATATTTGTATTCCAAAAATTTGTCCAATATGCGCATAATTTGCATATCTTGCATCATACATTGGGTAACTCAAAAACCTCTGCTTTTGCACATCAATCTGTAATTTGCATATCAATCACAAGAGAAATAATTTGACTGACAGTTAAATTCACATCTGATTCCAAAAATTAGCTTTTCTAATTATACATATTGGTATGTAGGTCGTTTGGCTGAATCTAAGCATGAGCAGAATAGTTGAATATTAATGGTTCAGGGTTTCCCTGGCACAATATAAAGGCGAATCGTAAGATGTCTTGCAAATGCGTATTGTATGGCCAGGTCGTGTTATAAATTAATATATTAAAATATTAAGTTTTATCCCATTACCCCATATCACGATACCTATAGTATCCTGACTTTGTATTACAATAGTATAGTATTGCTATGTGATTACTTGGGTACCCAGCACTATTCAGGTGTATCAAATGCTTGACTAGCATTCTTATTCCCTACATTGTTCTCTTATAATTTTCTTCTTTTCATTTTCAAATGAAATAGTCTTAAGTAAACTTTGAAATCATAATTTACAATCCAAACTCATTAAAATGAAATATTACATATACTTCAATAAATTTCAATTTTTTAAATAACTTAAAGGGACAGATGCGCCATTTTGGGGTTTTGATTTGAGTCTTGAATATTTGTAAATAGTCTTCAGAAATACTATAATATACGAAAATCGCAAAATTCCTTCGAACATATCCAAACCATGGAATTTCTTGTCCTATTTCTATATATGTCTTCTATATGTTGCAGTGTCTCAAGAAAAGAAAACTCTTCTTTTTAACTTTCAAACGAGGATAATTCTGGAGCACATGGATTTGAAGGCTAAAATTTTGATGGTGAGCTGTGAACACTATAACTGATTGGATTAGCTAAAAAAATTTCTGAGACTAAGGTATGATAAATGGCGCACCTGTTCCTTTAAATGAAAAATATCCAATAAAAAAATGCATAAAAAGTGAATGAATTTAGAAACAGGTTTATTGGTGGGTGTGAAATATATATATTTAAATCATTGTATAATCAATATTTCTCTCATTTCAAATAAAATATACTCAAGTAGAAATTTAAAAGTTTTTGAATAATTTAACTTAATGTTAATAAAACTTTGACAATATTTATTCACCTGACAAGAAAATCAATATTTAAAATAAAAATTGTCAATATATTGTATTTAATCAGTTTCCAAACCCATCAACACTCTTCCAAGCCCACCCACACTCTACAAAACCCACCCACACTCTTCTAAACCCACCCACAGAGTGTTTTTGTAACTAGGGCTTGTCACCAGAAAGTAACAATATCAGTAAATGTAATGAATACGATCAGCACAAATAGATATAGCCTTTTACAGATTAGAATGAAAGAAAGGCTAAAAGCAGTGCCATATTTAGAGGGAGGGTCATTGGAAATGTACGATAATCACATAATCCCCTGTGAACTAGAAATTTTACTTTCTATTTCTAAACATGTCTTTTCTATGTATGGAGGAGTCTTCAAAAGTTAATTCTAGACACATGTGAATTTGAAGGGGGATATTTCGACACTGATTCGTGATAAGCTAGCTAAAAATTTTGTTGCCGAGACTTGGGTACGATTGTTGAAATGGATGGCATACTGCAGCATTTCTGTCCCTTTAAGACATGTCACTAAGTTAATAAGTTTCAATGATAATATCAGTGTAATTTCAACATTTCTGATTGGTTAATTATATACTATTACCACCCACAATATGTTACAATAACTGGGACCTATCATCACAAAGCTATTACCAATGAATTACATTATCCTACTCTGACAGGACATTTCTGTGCCCTACACTATATATTTAACCTCAAGCTAAATAATTCAAATAACCTATGCTCAAAATACTTAGCTTCAACCTCAAATAAAAGTTTTTTTACGATTCCCTCCCCTACCCCACCCTAAACCTGTATCCTCAAAAGTTTTTTTTAATACCCTACCCCACTCTAACCCTGTACCCTCAAAAGTTTCTTTTAATACCCTACCCCACCTAACCCTGTACCTTCCAAAGTTTCTCTTAATACCCTACCCCACCCTAACCCTGTACCTTCCAAAGTTTCTTTTACTACCCTACCCCACACTAACCCTGTACCCTCAAAAGTTTCTCTTAATACCCTACCCCACCCTAACCCTGTACCTTCCAAGTTTCTTTTACTACCCTACCCTAAGAAGACTTTTCTCTGCTCTAACAATGACATAGTCAAAGTGACAATAAAGTTATAATAAGCTTATGTCAGTTACTATTGGTGTTTAACTTAGTACAAACTAATGTCATGCCATCTAAAGATAAAACTAAAAGTTTAAAATAAGGTCACACTTACTTATACTTCTTAAAACATATGGTGGCTTAAAACTCTCCTGGTTTTATTAGCAAATACATAGAAATAATGCCAAATGGTCCATAATTATGCACCTATAGTCACTCCACGATTGAGATCTCATTAATCTTGTTAACAATCATTAATCCCACGAAGGTGTTAAAGGTAAACAAATTATGTACGAAGTGGTATAGGTAGAACACATGCTATATTCACAGGTATAGTCAATCGAAGGCCTACTTTCTAACAATTCCCCCAGGCTACTGTATATTTAGTTTCTTTTTTATCTTTAAAATTTCATCATGGATTCCCCCAAAATATATCTCTTCTTTGGACAGGGATTGAAAATTGCTTTTTCTAACTTTTGTATGTGTACCAGGGCCATTTATGACTTCTATTAGTGTCATTCCAAGTTTCTGCTGTAAATTAGAAATGCTTGACTGAATATGAAGTCATTAATTTACTGGAAGCTTTTGTAATTTAATCGTCTCATAAATGTTTAGTTTTAGTGCAATTTGTGGACTCACTGACGTCTGATTGAAAGTTGGAATGGAACAAATCATTACCATCAGTATCCGCGATACACATACAAAGTTTGGAAAAACTCTATTCAATCACTTTAATATGCTGTTTTTTCAAAAACTAACTCATGGAGTACACTCTTGCTAACTAACTGGAGGTCCAAGGTTCCAATATAGCATAGGCTGAGATAATACCTTCGGATTTTTCAACCCGGTTTCCCCATGTCAGTGATGAATGGACTGACATGGGACAAGTGTCTAGTCATTCGGATGGGACAATACACAAGAGGCCTCGCCCAATGCGCTACAGGCTGTGCACATTAAAGATCGCAACACTTGGAAATTGAAAAAGAGTGAGTTAATGCCGCTGACCTGGCAAAATTTCCCTCATTGCATGCTGCATGACATTGCCTAATTAGGACCAGAAGAGTAGGACATAAATTCATTTGACCTTTTCCTGTTCACATCTGTTACATGAGTTTTGTTGATCTGGACTATGGATATGGCAGTTAAATGTTCCAATATTTAAACATCTATACCTTAACTGATAGTTCTATCTGGTTATTTGTTTACAAAGTAACAAAAATATCATTCACATGTCATTTTGGATTCGATTTCTCTCCAGTGTCCATAATATTTTATATATAATAGGTCAATTCCTTTTATCAATCAGTGAAATCTGTTACTTGTTGTTTTCAAGCAGGAATGTTGATTTGGCTGATTTGCATTTCATGTATGGTTGGATCTTGAAAAAATGCACAGGCATGGAGTCATACATATTTCACATCTTCAGACTTCTTTTTATACCTTGACTGCAATAACCACCTTTCGTGTATCACTGAATGCAGCCCTTTGATTGGATTGTATGCCAGTGAATACAGCCAATAATAGCCTTCAACATAGCCTTTCTGTCAAGGACTCTCATTGGCTGTATTTGCTAATTTAAGATCCAACAAATTCGCTGTATTTCCAAACTGCCATGAAACAAGCAAGAATAGTGGCTATCAGTTATAGTCAAGGTTTAAGTATGAAGTTCTTCGAAGACTAACAATCGGCATTATAGCATTTTTTTATATCAAGAAAGCAATTTCAATGAATCTTTAATTTACTAAAAGTTATCCAAATAAATCAGTCATGCTTTTTAATGTTTGTCAACTAACTGTATTTTTCAACTAAAATATCCTAATGAAATGCAATAAAAAAAGCAAGTTCAAAATAATTTTTCACCCCAAAAATGACAATAAATTATGAGTACTTGATATTTTTTAGTGTTGACATTTTTTTCAATATAGGCCACTGATTTATTGAATTACACCACTGAATAATGTTTAAATATAACACTATAGGTGTATAGGACTTTTTGACAGCACATGGCCATTATCACCATTAAGGTAATCACTTAGTGTGTGCATACACAAATTACATTTGTCCATCCTACTATTTTGCACCATGTGCAATAAGAAATTTTCAAGGACACATCAACCATTGCCCTTGTCAAGCATAATAAGAATAAGCTATGGATTTCATTCTATCAACAAGATGCTTTTTTCTATGCTAGTTTCTACAATCATGTTCCTGCATCACTGACAAGGTGAAACTGGTATTAAAAAACCTACATCTAATTTTGATCTGATTTTGGACATTCTAGACAATCATTAGGAAGACAAATGTCAGCAAATAATAATTTCTGAATTTAAAATGTACACAAGGACAATCTAACTTGAAAGACTAGCCTCTAGGTCTAACATTTACATATAATATGACATAAAATGTAATAAACCATATATATTATCATTCTTATTGTCAATCTTAAAATATCTCTTTAACTTCCTTAAATTTTTTATACAAACAAGGGCAATAAGTCAGTTTGAAAAATTCAAATCTATTTTAAAAGGGTAGTTCAACTTTAATTGCCAAAATCTCGTCCATTTAAATGGTCAAAATTCAAATATCCAACAAGGGCATTAACTCTGCATTACATTTTTTTTGTTATCAATTCTGGAAATTTCTAGGCAGCTGACCTCATTTCTACCAGAATACATTGTTGTTAATATTGATAATCTTTAAGGTACAGTTTGACCAATCATACTTTAGTCTCAGAAACAGGAATTTTTTAGCTAAGCCAATAAGTAATAGTGTTCACGTCACCGTAAAAAATTTGAGCCTTTAAATCGATGTCCAGAATTATCCGTGTAATTGTCAAATTTTAAGATATATTATTGAAAAGACATATATAGTAATAGTGAGTAAAATTCCTAGTTTGAAGTATTCTTAAAGGTATTATGTTATTTTCTAACACTTCTAGTACTTCTGAAGACTATTTACACGTATTCAAGATTAAAATCAACCCCCCAAGGTGGCTCACCTGTCCCTTTAAGACTTGTTAAATGCAGTACACTTATATATCCCTTATATAAACCAGATAAAAACTTGTATAAAATCTACATCCAAATCCATTCCATTCTGGAATATCATGTACATTTCTAAATTTGGCAGGAAATTCACAGATAAATTTAATCAAAGGAAATAATGGATTGCAAAAGGGGTCAATTTGACTCCGAAAATATGATGCCATACAGTTCAAATTAAACCCTGTATACACTGCACTAAAGACCTGTATCCCATCTATTTAAACCTGAACCAGGTGGCGCAATGTTCTCAATGTTCTCAATGGGACGTCTGAAAATTTAGAACTACATTGCAGTTTTACTTCATGTGTTTTACCATGTTTAACACAGATACATGTAAAAATTATTACTCATGAGCAAATGCAGAGATAGCTATCTAAAATTAGGAAGTGGTGCATTACAAACGTTTTTGAATAATTAGTATAATAAATTGATCTATATTATAAAATAGTAAAAATTGTTTTAAAAAAATGATATTAATGAAGGAACAGATGTTTTTGTATACACCCAAGTACATTATTCATTTTCATCCTGAATAATCCACGATTGCTATTTCACTAATTTCACTTTTACCCAATTGATTTTATTTGTCTTGATTTCTGGATTACCATTAACTACAGGTAACTAAATGTTGTTGATTTGCTATTTGAATTGGGGCAAAATACACAAAATAATTCCAATTTTCAATCAGACATCTGTGGTCCTTGCATTCTATGTCAACATCAAAAGCTGCTATGACATCATCTAATATCTAGATATTGGAATGTTATCAGTGTTTCAAAAACACATAAACGTTTAGAGTCTGTTAACTTTCAATATCAGTAACAGAATTTATATCGTTAGTAATATTGCCTGATTAAAAAATATCAAAATATTGTAATATATAGTAGGTATCATGATATATCTAAATCATAATTTTTGTCCAGATAAGATCATCTACACAATTTTAACAAGTTGAAACAGATGTTTTTGCATAATATTAAACACTGGGTTGGTACTTTTTTTTAGATCTATATTGTTTTTTGTTAAATCTAAAAAAAATTTATCATAAAAAAACCATTTTGTTTCAAAAACCAGTAAAAACGACACTAAAGAAATATTACCATATATACCCATATTGTAATATGTTAATGCTGGATATTGTGATATCCACTTAAACCAATTTTACCCAGTCCTAGTACAGGAATCCCCCCACTAATGCACTAAAAAGTGACTTCTGATCCAGCATCAGCCATTTAAAACTGTCTTCTCAGCAAAAAAATCAAAGGTCACAGAGTCACATGATACTAACAAGATGAAAGTTAGGATGATGCATGGCACTATTTACAGTCATTGTAAAGGTATTTTAATATTATGTTAGAGAAAACACATCTTTGGAGGTGTGCAAAATTCCCATTTCTGACTATACTCCAGCTGATAACTGTCAAAATATCCATCAGAGGCTGGAATAGAGGCAGATGTTTCCGACTAGGTGATGCCCAACACTAATGTAATTTAAGATTGTGTCAGAAAAAACACATCTTCCGAGGTGTAGAAAACCATTTAACAGGACTGTTTTTTCCTGACTCTACTCCGGCCGACAACTGTCAAAATATCCATCAGAGGCTAGAATAGAGGCAAATGTTTCGGACTACCAAAAACAATGAATGGAAAATAGGTAGGCTGCAGAAGCTAAGGGTGTCCCATGGGGCATGTAGTGGTTTGCCCATTTACAAGTTCCTCCCTAGTGGTTTCCACCTCTATTTTAAGTAGAAAATGTGATACAGGTGTATTAATAGTTATTTATTTCATATACTTTGAACTTAACAACAAAATTGATTCTTTTCATTAAATTGTTTAATTCATCACAGTCTACTCTCAAATAATTTCTGTCATTTTATAAATATCTAAAATATAATTTTCAATTGCATGACATTTGTCTGAGAATGTCTTCTGGTTCAAACGCTTTAGAAAAATAGATATGATTTGACATTGGAATTTCCCTGACTGAAAATTATCTTCTATAAATTCAAATTTCCAAGTGATTATTTGCTTTCTTTGGCTGGCATTGTTATTAACCCTTGTGATTCAGTTAACATTGTAATGGTCTGGCAATAAAATCACACTTTTGAAATCCTTTATAAAGGTGTTTAAAGGGCAATATGCCAGTTCCAAACTGGGCTTATGTGTACATGTGCAGCACACTCATTTTTCTACTCCTGTCTCCAGATAAACACATCAGGCCATAGACTGCCATAGTAGCCTAAGTCCTAATCGTTTATCCCAAGATGCTAGTAGGGAATGAGTGTGCATGCAGACATAGACCAATAGCCCTACATTTACTTTGGAACTGGCTTATTGCACAATTTAATAGTACCAGTACTTACCTTTTTTCACTGCAACTGGTGGAGGTGGGGTATTTGGTGTGCCCTTTTTCCAGGGGTTGGTCTTTGGTGGTGGAGCTTCCACATACAATTTATTGTCAAATTTTTTCACATTAGCTTTATCCTCTTTGGGATTTTTGTCACTTTGTTTGGGTTTAGGTTTCTCAGTTTCATTTCCATTCACTTTAGGTTTAACACTTTCTTTAGAAGTCTCTGAAAAACGTTCTTTCTCTGGGTTAGTTTTGGTCACAGAGGAATCTGGCTGATTCGAGGGCCCAGGAGAAGAACTGACTGCTGTGGCCATATTGTTTGTTTGTTTGTTTACTCTAATTCACTATCTAGTTGAGGCTAAAAATAAAAATCAACAGGCATGAAAATCTTAGAATTACTTATATGATTCAAGACATTAGATTTCCATCTGCTGATGCAACAGCTGCTTAAGCCACAGACATCAAGTATGGCAACAATTCTATGCTTCGTTTCACCACTCAGATGGCTTCATGCCAATTTTGCTTTCGTTTTCAATTTGATTGGGGCAAATTTCATAGAAATAAACACCCTTCTCGTGCCAAAATTGTGACAATGAAACATTAAAATAGTAGTCTAACATGTTTAAAACCAGAAAACTAAGTTGTCATATCAAAATTATACAAAAATCTGGAAGAATTTGTCGCCAGAAAATGGAGAATTTGCAATGTTATCATATGTCCCCGTTGTTTCTAAATATGGCCACGTTGGAATTGTTGGCCAAGATTTCTCCTCATTACCGAGCATCTAACGGTTAATTACCGCTTAATTTCTGATTAAAACATTTCAAAATGTTGACTGACCGTAAAAGCGAGACAATCATAATTCTTAACTGTGCTAACACGGCGACAAGGCGAAAAAAGTTCACTAAAATCTGCTAGAGCACATGTCGCCATCAGCACTAAATGAAAAGGCGCATGCGTATTGACCCGGATGTTAATATTTGACCCCGTTACACACGTGATTTGATGATCTGCACGAGATATTTGGTGTTTTGTTGTGAAACAGCCAAATACACCAAATAAACGAACTATTATTCATTACATCATTTCAATGAATTCAATATTTGCCGGTCTTGGTTGTGCACATACTGGTGATTGAATTAAAGTGATTAAGTCTGTTGTTTTTATTTGTCAATAAAGGGGAAAGACTTGTGCCTAGTAGCCCTAGAGGCTTCCTGCTAATTCAATTATTTGGTTGTAACTGATGATTAAGCCTATAAGTTTCCCAAATATAATGCCCGCCTTTTTTATTGGCTTAGCATCGGCCCTTTTAAATTCAATTGTCAGCCAGACCAGACCAAACCGTAACCACATTTGATTGTTCAATCAAAGACGAAAAGCTGGCGATGGGTGGATTTTCCATTAGGCCAGTGGTTCCCAACTCATAGTATTTCAGCTTCCACACCCCTGGAGCAATCACGTGGACCTTTCACACCCCAAAAATTTGTTTCATCCCTATTTTAAGCATGTGATGATGTGAGATGCTCTCTCACCCCTGACACCCTAGGGGTGTGAAAACATCCCGGATGGGAACCAGGGCATTAGGCCTACTGCAAAACAACCGGGGGTTTATTTGGAAAGAAGACAAGAACCAAACGTCCCTATGTGGACCTTTAATTTGATTTGTGTACCGGTAGCTGTTATTCCACCATTGTGACAATTTCTTACCCAATATTCATAATATATCATTAAGGATCTAAAGATTATCGGTAATCTTAATCTTAATAGGCCTATAGTTAAAGTGTAACTAGATACGCCTAGGCCCTTAGATAGTTTTTAATTTTGAACATAATGAAATCATTCGTAATAGCCAGTGGCGTAGCTTGCAGGATTTAACTGACGGGGGGAGGGGGGCATCCTTTCGGATTTAAAAGGGCACTAGCCACTGGTAATAGCATTGTGAACTATGATATGCAATGTGCATACAAAACTAAACTCTTTAAAAGTAAATACCACGACTTAGGATGACCAAAAAATTATATTTTTTCAATTTAGCCAAAATGAGTCTTTGTTCATCAGCGGACTTACCTGGTGCCATAACTATACAATCCAATAAATCTATAAATCAACTAACAATTCATAAAACTAAGTAATTTTGAAACAGGCTTAGAAATAATTATTTAGTTTAATGGATAAACTGGTAAATCCAACTGATGAATATATATACACTTATTGACCAAGTTTGGGACTATAAATTTATGTCCATTCTAAGAGGTAGTATTCCTTTAATATAGAATAAGGATTATGGATTATAACTTGGGATTAGGGATTAACTCTAAGACAATTAAGACAACTGTAAAGTCGAAGATTATCGAATTAACGGATTAACGCAGCTATCTTGCCAACTATATACTAAATTTTTTTTCTTTGTGTAGTGTTTGTATACAAAGGCAACATGAAACAAAAACTCTTTTTCGACAAACTTTCAAAGTTTAACAGCTTTAGCTATGTATTGAATGCTGAATACTTATGGATAAATTGAGGTTATTCATAGGATAAATCTAATTCAGAGGTAAAAATACGTTTTATTTTAAAAAAAGTTATCGACTTAGTTCGCAGTTTAATATACCTATGCTCCCAAATAAAACACTGATGTAAATCCCCCCCTTTTCAAGTATTTTTATCTTTGGATTCAGTATATCTACATCTGTAACGTGCATTTTTTGTGGACACTTTCTTTATATATTCATAATCTAAAGCATTCTGTGTTGTGTGAAATTCATCAAATTTGGAAATAATATTCATTGTTCAATAAGGTAACTTTATTTCCTTAGAGCTGAAACAGAGGCTATTAAATAAAGAAAAGACACCACGAGTCTGCTTTCAATGTTTATACAGATATTAATGCATTATTGAAAATTTAATTTAGCCTTAGGGTAAATATAAAATATAATTTAGAATAATGTCGTATTTCTAAACAAAATTATTTCTTGTAAAGGGAAGTAATTACTTTACACAAAAAGAGTTATCTCCCATTGACTATCTATCCTTTACAAAAGACTGTGGAAGACAAGAAGGTATTAGATTTCCCGATCTTTTTAAACCCAACGATCCCTTGTATAGGACAAGATATATTGAAAATATCCCTTTTAACTATTTAGTTTGAAAAAAAATTACGACTCCTACCTAGCAGTAACTTTAATCATAACCCTGTCTTAATGCACACGATGCCTGAAATCAGCACCCTGTCTCCAATCCTTTAAATATCAAGTTGTTGTTTTCTTTTTCAGAAACTTTGTATAGAGAATGGGTTTCAACATGGCCAACGGTAAAGAAAAACGAGCAAATGGATTGGAACTGCTGCGGCTCAGCGCCGGGAAAATTATACAAAGTATTGCAATGGAAAAGGAAAAAGACTTGAATTTAAACAATAAGAGCGATAAGCTGTTTCATCTTACTGCCCACTTAATGAGAGAACGAAACAGTGTCTTTCTTCCCAAATTTGGAATTTTCGCTAACTTGGAGGAAAGATTGAGACCAGCACGAGATGAAACTGGAAGGGACTTGCAGCCAGTCGACTTAAAAGTTTTAAGACGCAAACGATCTCGTGATAATGTTGCTCAACGCAGAGATTCTGTGGGCAGCCGCAGTCGAAAGATGTCGGGAGATACATCAGGTGATGAAGGCATCGTTGATATTTTCCGAGAAGTTGATGGTAATAAACGTTCATTGCGATCTCGAGCGGCCAAGATCGTCCATGCTGCCTTGTGGACTAATAACAGACGGGATTCGAGTACATCTCTCCATAGCGAGCAATCTAAACCCAGTTTAAAGCGGCGTCCTAGTGTAAGCCAAATACCCGAAAACATGAACAGTATTGATAAGATAGCTTTTCTTAGAAAAAACGTACATTTTATAGAAAAGAAATTTAAAGCAATTGCTCAAAAGCAACGACACGTAAGCGGAAACGGAGACGACAATGTACCGAATAATGGAATGGATCTGATGCCAGATATTGCTGAATACCGTCCTTCCAGATTCGAAGAACCAGGTTCGGTAAGAATCAACATGTTTATGAGATTCTGTTTTTTAACCTGTAATCTAGCCTTCACACAATATAGATATATAAGTTAAGAATGGTTGAGAATAAGAACGGCGACCATAAGTTTTGAACGCAACTCGCACAGCGTCTCAACAAGATGTAGTTCTCAGTTCTACCAGAAGTGGTTGCCCCTATCCTTTTGTCATCTGGGACTAGCCTTACACAATATTCCAGCTATTCCACTAAAACTAAACCTCTTTACTGTATGCAATATCTATAATAAATTGCAGGCAACCAAGTTGTTCAAGAAATACGCCTCCATTATCATCATCATTCACCAGTGGTTCCAGTTATTATTAAAGTAAGTAAGACTCTTTTTTAATCCTTTAAACCAATCTTGCCTGTAGCATACCAGAAGGTCAAAGTGAAGCCACTTAACGCTGATTGGTAGATGATAAGTTAACGTTCGCTTCCAGCGGAAGCTGATATCGCAAACTAGGTAGTTGTTGGTAGTCGTAGTAGTTGGTAGTAGACGACTATCGATCCAGTACGGTTCAGGATGCGATGGGAACAGGGTTTTCTTCTTCTATTTCTACTATATTGATAATCAGCACCTAGTCTATTCTCACCTGAAAATGATAGAGAACAAAAACATATATGGGCGGAGTGTATTGGTTCAAGGTGTTAAATTATCTTGGTCTAATCAAATCAAATCAAGGAGAAATGAAATTTATGACGTCACTAACCCTACTGCTCAATTTCGGTCATGTAGGACGTCATTATTTTTAAGAATCTTTTAAAATCATATTTATCTTTTTCTTATAGCAATAATAAATGTAACTGGGAAAAAGAATTAAAAACGTTTGTGGATCTGGCAGTAAATATTGAGGAAAATAGTACACCAGAACTGATGAAGAAATCGGGCTTGTCATTTGATAAATCATATTTCAAAACCAATAAAGAGGTAATATATTAAACTTATTACTACTTTGAACTTCAATGGCAGCGGTGACGTCACTGATTATGTAAGTAAGATTAAACGTAAAAACAACACCAAGTTTGGCTCCTATTCCTATTCCAAACCCTAGTTACAATGGTTCCAAACCTTGTCCTTGCGGATCCAAACCTAACATAGTCCCAACAGGTCAAGCGGGCTCAAAGAATATCCTAATATTGATAAAAAGACACAAATAAAAGTGTGGTTTGGGCCTGTGTGAACATTTCTTGCGCAAGTCACTAGCAAGGCACTAAATGTAATCATGCACTCTCTCTATATCCCTGGTTCCCAACCCCCTGGGGGTGTTGGACTAGGGTGTCATGGGTGTGGCCAAATGGTGTAGAAGAAGAATTTGTTTTGAATTGAGAAAGCACCTCACATTATCACATGCTTTGAGGAGAAATTTATTCATATTTCAGATTTCACTCAGTGCGGAAGTAAGAAAGACGCTGACGACTCGACCATCAGCTCGTAACCCCGACATGTTGAAACAGGTCCTCCTCGGCTTGCAGAGTCTTCATTCCCTAGGAGAATACCCCGTCAAAACACAGGAGAACATATGCCAAGTTGCATGGTACCAAAAGTAAGTTGATTTTCTTCGGTGTCGACTCAACGTGTCAGTCTTACTTCAGTAGAGTGGAGGTTTCATGTCCGTTGTCTTATAGCTCAACACTTTCTTGGAAATTACCAACCAGTGATTGCAGGAAGGAGGTGTTTAAAAAGAGTTTCATTCGAATGGAACAGCCTTATATTTTACCTACTTTACACACAAACTTCATAAGTGATATAAACAAATTAAACGACTGATTGGCTTCTTGCATTCTGGCAGATTATTGGGTCAGGCATGAATTGATCTGATTGTAACGGTTAACGTTCGATCCCAGCAAACTAGCTGATTGTATGATGTTGACCTATATAGTAGTAATTGCGGGTGTCTCGCGCGAAGCAGATCCTGCTTACTCTTTTTGAAACACTTTGTGGTATTCCTTTTTGAGGAGTCAATTACAATTATTACTCCCGATTTTGTCATCCTTTTGGAGAGGTTTTCAGTTTAATAAAGATCCTCTACTTTTTTTATCACGGATATTTTATCTTTCAGAGTTCCATCAAAGAAAGCTATAATTCGCCAAGGTCACATATCAGAGAACTTCTATTTTGTACTGAGTGGAACTGGTAAGCATATTTGTTCACAATCTTAACCTACACCTACACCTGGGGATTTTTCCTCGGACAACAGGGTCAGTACAGACCCTTCTTCCTCATTCGTAAAAGAGGTGGGGAAAGGGGGCTATAGATACATCTTTATTTGGTATACTGCTCCTTTCTGTAGACGATTCCCCACATTTAAATGCTTCCAACTATAATGACCAGAGATAGTTTAGATTCCATAAGAAATAGGCCCTTCAGTCCAAGGCATACACGGAATTTGTTTTCTTGCAATAATAAAGTATAAAGTTATTTTTCAGCCTTTGTAAAGAAAATAGTAGAAGACCCTGGCAATGGCGACCCAGTGTCAACTACCGTGGCTAAACTAGTTAAAGGACAAAGTTTTGGGGTAAGACTTTTAGAATTGTTATAGCCCTGTTCTTAATACAATCTTCACAATGTCAAGATATTACGAACTCTGCAGTGTCATAGTCTGCAATTCAGGTCTGATGTATACAGTTTGGAGGGGCAATGGTTTGATTGCATTAAGGGAATGGGTCGGTTGTTAGAATCCCCCCCCCCACCCCCCCAAAAAATCAGGTTTTGGGAATGTGGTCGACAGCTCGCTCGAGGCATTGCAAACCTCTATATTTTTCTATGTATAAAGAAAAGAGAAAAAATTCCTTCATAAGCACCAGGCCATATAACTGTATCTCGTAGGATTTGTGTGTGCGAAAGTAATGAATACTTGTCATTTGATCTCCATTTCAGGAAGTGGGTTTGATTTTTAACTCAAAAAGAACCGCTACAGTCGAGACGGCTACAGAGATGGAAATGCTTGTCATAGAAAAATCTGATTTTTACCAAATTTTTATGAACATGGATAACCCAGAAGGAGAACCAAGTCACATCAGTTTCTTGAGGTAGATTTTCACCTATTGAGGTCAATGTTTAAAATGCACGTACATCGTGCGTGGATTGATATGGCTTCAAAATAACGTTACCGTTTATATTTTGGGAAAATTCTTATCATTTCACACGCATCAATTTGTAAAAACCTTCATTATCCTTATTTATGGATGATGCAAATTTGCTTTAACGGCAATATACACGGGCCTTCTACTGGGTGTAGCCATTTTGATCCTCCTTTTTCAGACAACAACCATTGATGAAATACTGGCCGATTGATATTCTGAGAGAAGAACCAAGTGCCTGTTTTCTTCATTATTTCAAGTAAGTTAAAAAAAAAAAGAAAAGAAAACAATACAAAAGCCTAATTTCCCCCAAAAATGAAACAGTTATTTACTCCTGTTGGTTAATGGATTAAAAAGGGGGTTAGGGCTTCACACCTTTCTTAAATTGAATCAATAGCTTCCATGACTTTGATCGTCATGAGCCAAGAGCCAGACCCTATACCTTATTATTACTTATGACGAGTAGTAGAGGAACGTAAAGCCCCTCCCCTTTTAGCCTTAATAGTTTCTCAGAGTGATACGGGTGGATGTGGTCACGGTTGAGAGCTTGATAAGCCAAATTTGCCGGGAAACTTCCATTTATGAGCTCTAAAAGGTGCAGAAAAGAGAAAAATATCTTTGCCTGTAATATCTCGTGGTTTGTCAAAGTATATAAGTCGGCTATATCGCATAGTTTGACTCACGCTAACCCTTTATCCCTTGTTTGTTCTTCAGACGGGGAGCTTTGGTATCAGAAAATGGTAAAACCAGCGATTGGATTTATTTCATAAAATCGGTAGGTGTATCTCGTTTTTCTTCCTTCTTCATGGTGGATTATATGTAAGTCCAAAATGCTTTCCCTTACGGCTCGGTAAGGGAAGAAAAATATACAGTCTAGATTTTGAGATGAAAAAGATCGATAAACGTTGGCATGAAGGTGGGATCGGACATTTAAAAGCTTCTTATCTGATCGCAGATTCCGAACGCACAGGTCAGTTATAAGATCCAAAACAAGCGGCAAGAAGCATCAACTATCATCGGTAAGTTACGCCCAGATCGACCACATCGACCAAATCTAGCGATTGGCTAGATTCTCTCAGTAAGAGTCGTTGTTATTCTAGTTGGCCCCAGCTTCCGAGCCACTTTTACAAACCAAGTGTTAAACACCTCCGTAAACTCAAAAAGGTGCATTCATAAAATCAGAACCTTGCAGAATTTAGAAAACGAACTTTTCTGGCTTTAATTAAAGGGATTGTAAAGAGGTTTTATACAAAAATCTATGTATATCGGGGACACTGATAGCTTCAATTTGCACCATTTTAATTTTCGTTCCGACGTCTGTGGTTCTTGCAATTCCACTAAAACTAACGCATTTTATGATGTCACTAGAGTGATATCTATGCAGTTATCCTCTAGTGACGTCATAAAACGCGAATTGCAAGAACCACTGACGTCGGAATGAAAATTGGAATGGGGCAAATTAATGCTATCAGTGTCCATGATACACATAAAAAGTTTAGAAAACCTCTTTACAATCTCTTTAATTTGTTACCTTTGCTCCAGAACAACCACCATCTTCTCCTTTAACACCAACGTTATTGACATGCCTTTTGTGGCAAATTGACCTTCAATGGCAGTATGGCATGATGTATGTTTTCAGGGAACGTGCGAAGTGATAAAAAGTTTGCGAGCGGTGAAACCTCAAGTGAAAAAAGACAAGAAAGCTGATATTATGTTACCTGAGTTCTTGGCTGGAAGATCAAGTAAGTTAATACCATAAGACAATGTTAAATGAATCTCGGAAAAAAATCTTACCCAGATTATCAGTACCAATTTACAATTGGGTCGACTGAATATCGGACTCTATGAAGTATTCAAGGTAACGACCCTGTTTATCGTGTTTGATGGTGGGGTGGATTTTTAGAAATGTAAAATTGTCGGACATTTTTCTAATGAGACTCTGTGGAAATGTTAATGCGATGCCATAGCACTCAGTTTGGGAGATGGGGCACATTGACAAAATGTATCGTTTGCAATGTGTTATAATTCAGCATTAAAGATGGGTTACCTTATTTTCATTTATGACAATGAAAATGCTAATACCTATCTGAATAGAAAGTAGAGGTGTGCTAATGATGTGGAAAAATACCAGTTTAGCTAAATTAGAAGAGAATTACTAGCAGAATTCCAATTTCAAGAAAGGTCAAAAAGTCTTTTTTGTTGTTAATCCAGACTGCACATACATGGACATTTATGGTTTGTTAAACCTAATTATATGCAATAATGACATAATGATATGATTAAGAATGCATGACAATTCATTAGAAACACCAATTAATCAAATAGTTTGCTTGATTTGACAATAAAAAAATAAGTAAACTCATCTTTAACTGATTCATTTTCAGTGCCGATGATAGATTCCGGCGTAAGGAGGTCCAGGAGGTCTACAGTGGATTCTGAAGTGTTTGATGCTATGGAAAATTATTATAGTGATGTACATAACGTAAGTTGTAGTCGTGAATAGCATAGCTATAGTGATGTACATAACGTAAGTTGTAGTCGTGAATAGCATTGCTTAGTTGTTAACGAGTTGCATTACTATAATCTTCATGGCTTAGTGCTATAAGTTTCGGATTTCAAGCCTTTCCATCAAACATATCTGTCAAAAAATCCCAATGATTTTGATAAAACAGTGTCGCATAGTCAGTTTACTTGAAACATGTGTTTTCCATATCTCACCCATCCGACCATATCTGAAGATATCTCATCTACCATTGGTCCTGATTCAATTACTGTGAATTAACAAACTACCTATAGTCTAAGGAAGTGGATCTTAACTTGTTATTTTCCATGGCCGAGTTAAATTTGAGAGGCAATGCGTTTCTACAAGGTTGTTTGGTGAAGGCATATCAAGTAAACGTCCGCTGCCAGTTAAATGAAATTGCAGATTTAGTAGTTGTAGTAGTTGGTAGTAATATTAGGATTAATTGGATGGTTTGGTAGTATGTTGGTGGTATTGCGAGAGTTATATGTCTCATCATCTCATGTATAGGCTACCATGTAGATGACTATATATAGTATTCAATGATTATATTTTCAGCAAGTAGTATCAGTGAAGACCTTGCATCTTCCCAACATCAACAATAACAAACAGGTTCAGATAATGATCACTTCCCCTAGAGACCAGAACGAGAAAGAAGAAGAGAACATGGCGGTGTTTCATCTTCCGGTTGCTAAACCAACCAGATTGTCTGGATCTGCTGGCGTTTCCAGAAGTAAATTTGACTCTAAGTACAGCAGAGTGTCAGAAAGTCACAGTGTAAGTCTTTTTCAAATGAGCAGCTGTCTGATCAGAGCTTAGAGCTGTCCATGAGCGTTCGATTATCAGTCCACATAAGGCCAGTTAGTTTGAATCCCCAAGGATATTCAAATTGACTGCTAAAAAGGAATGGATTTGATATGACCTTTAAGAACAGATACGACAATCTGAACTTCTTTAATAGAATTCAATGGTGTCAGAGGCGGGGCAGGAATTTCATCGTCTAGAGAAGAGAAGAGAAAATAAGTTCTGCTATCGTGCTTCCTAGGAAAAGCCAATCTACTTCACAACGTGGCTCTGGTGAACATGACTACAGCTCTTTCCTTTGCCGTTTCAGCAAATTCCGAGACCGTCATCTCTGAAAAAAACTATCAGACCGAAGTCAACACCAGCTGTTCTGAAATCAGAGAGGTCAGAAGAAGAAAATATCTTCGTAAAGGTTGAACTGCTTCAAGCCAAAGATGTCTTCGTAAGTTTTATTTCAAACTATGACTTGTTAGCTCCTCGCCATAGATAAGGATAAGGCTCAGATTCACTGGCTGTTTACAGCTTTTAACCTCAGGCTTTCAAAAATTGTTAAACTAAGCACTGGAGATAAACTGGTGGTAACTCGTAGCAACTAACAGAAACTGCGATTTTCAGATATCGGTGCAACATTTTTGCAACAACATTTTTGGTAAATCCGATTAAATTTCTTGCGGATCTTTCACTGTGGGGCCAGTGCAATCAGATTCTCTCGGATGCCACCAGTTTCATTGAAAATCAGGTTGCTCTCATACTCGTTACTTTCAAAGTCGACCGAGATCACCCACTTTTGGTAAATTGCATGAGCAACATATTTTTCCATGTTTCCCATTCAGTAATATTTAATACTTAATATATACATGTGCTTGTTCAATTTTCAGGGGGCGAACACATTGAAATTTGTGGACCACGAAGAATCGAATATTCCCTCAGTGTCTTTAGTAAGTGCATGTAACTCTATTATTTATAGGCTATTAATAATTTAAGTCCGAAAAATGCATCGCTTTCACGGCAAGACTGGTTTATCGTCTGCAAGATTATTCACATAGTTGAAAACGACCGACTGGAAAATTCGTTGTCTCCTCGTACACTTGCCCACAGCCTGTCGGCGACTGTGTAACCGTGCCATAAATTAGGTCGTGTGAATGTGGTATATCGGCCACTTTACACCTTCAACTCCTTAGATTAAGTAAAGTTCCTATTCAAGGCATTATGATACACGCGAAGAACATGGTGACCTGTCAAAGTTCCGGTCTTGGTCGGAGATTTTTGTCACGAGTCTCGCCGACTGGTACGGGCACACAAAAGGAAACAAGGAGGAAACTAAAATCTCCAGCCGGTCGTTTTCATGTGCGAAGCATGCACTTGAAAGGAAAATGAATCTGATGAGATAAAGCACGGGCACACGCGAGATTTTACTCAAGACTCTCCGATCAGGGCCGCTCGTGTGTCCGCACCTTTAAGAATCCAAATATCCCAATTATATCCAGCTTTTGAACGCCGTGCAAGTTCGCTATGCTATACGAGTTATTAATCTAATTTCCCTTCGTTTCAGGTGAGCAAGGGGGCAGAAATAGTCATGTTGTCAAAGAGAATGTTTTTAAAATACGCAGACGAACAGGTCCGAAATCACGTGCAAACAAAGATTCGTTATTATCCAATGGACGCAACTCTACAAGAAAATTTACAGACCAAAGTAAATTGGGAGCAATATAGACAAACTGTACTTCAGGACACCTTACATAATCATCGTAAATTAAGGTTTATGTCAGGATACGTTTAACTGTGAACATATTTCACTTTTGTTCGTGAGTCATTTCGTGCACTTATTGTTAGTCCTAACTAAGGACTCCCAAGAATCAGAAATTGCACAAACCTGGTCTGAGACAGTGGCGGCGCCAGCCTGCCGAGACTAGGGGTACAAATAGGGGTAGACTGACTCAACGGAGGACAACTGCAAAAGCAGAATTCAAATTTTGGTTACTCTGTGGTGGTGTCATAGTCGCAAGCCTCACATAGAGCGTCTTAAAGGGTTCTCTCAAGAAAATTTTAGAAAAAATGAATTGATATTGTGCATTCTGACACATATTTTGGAGAAAAAAGGTAGACATTTAGATTTGTTCAAAATAAAGTGGGGGTACAATTGGGGGTGGGGGTGCCTCCCCTGTACCCCCACTGGCGCCGCCACCTCTCCGAGACCTCCGTAATTTAAAATATTGATGTCTGGTGGAAAGGTATCAAAATTGGGCAATTTCGAGAATAAAGATTCGTCAGTATTGTGTGATTCGATATATTGATGAACGCATTTTTAGGACGTCAAAATATTTCAAACTATGTGTAATATGTTTCTTGTTAGTGAATATCGGACCATTAGTGTATTGTGATGTTTATTTTTCTAATAAAAAGTGTTTAAAAAAAAAACTTATTTATCTGTCATAACCAATCCAGTAACTTATTTAGGGGATGAGCGACCCCTTTCAGTCGCGGAGCCACGTTGACGTCCGAGGGGGGCGGGGGCGAAATATCTGAGGTTGCCCGAATTTCTTACCTAGTTATGAGGGTAATGCCCGAAAAAATTGCGGCTCCGCCACTTTCCCTTTCACCCCAAGATCTGCGAGAATAAGGTGAATTATGCACTATTAATGCTGAACATTCACCTCTCAAGTCAGATGGCTTCTGAGGAAGATACCTTTCATCTTTAAAAGGGATTTCCCAGATACGCCCATGAACCAATCTGTTTGCTAGATTCGGCTAGATTCGGCTAGAGCTCCTTAAAGCTAAAAGTCTGGGGGCTACCAAAGCTACCCAGTAGACAACAGATTTTAGATGGCCAATGGCCAATTGTCCAGTAGCCCCCCCCCCACACCCCCCCCCCCCCCCCCCAACCCCCTTAAACACTGCACTGCAGAAGTCAGATTTAAATTCTTGTTTGTGATTCGGATACGTAAAAAAAATTAAGATTACTACAAGTTTGAAAAATGTAACCATGGCCTTTAAATACTAGACCATTCAGATATTAAAATTCACTTTGAAAATTTTCCTGTTGACCCAAACAAAGAAAATGAATCAAACGTCGGTAGTGATTATCTTAAAACGACGGAATAAAATCACCAGAATTAGACAAAGAAACGACATTTTTCTACCATGACATCACCACTGTCTCGTCATTTTCATTTCTGTCTTGTCTCAATGATGATTGTTAGTCAGGCACTTCTAGTTTCTTTAATTTCAAATTACATGACATTAAAGGGAATGACTAGTGAAGTTTTTATTTACTTTTCTTTATGGAGGGGGGGGGGGGGGGGGGTTGTTGTTGGAGTGAACGTGTGAATGTTAACAACAATCTGATCTGTCTTATAAGAATATATATCATGGATGTTTCGTTTCGAAATTATTTCTGAAATTTACTAGCCTATTCTTGTCATCCATGATCCGGCGATTTTCTTCTGAAATCGTGTTCAGTGGAATTTGGCTTAATAATCTTAAAAATTGACATAAGTGATCTTCACCTAACACTGAGTGTCTTTGCTCGTATCCATCAGCTCAGAGCAGCGATCTTTATTTCCATTCAATTCGCATTTTCCATTCAATATGATCACAATCGCTGCTGTACACAATCTACCAAGATCGAGAAGATTCCGGAAGAAAGGTGACTCAGAGTTCCGACCGTGTTGGTCACGTGACACTCTAGTCATCTGCAGACAAAGAAAAACGATGGCATCAATAATTTAACATTTAATCAAATGACTTTTAATTTAAAACACAAGTTGGCTGATTAATTTCAAAACACAATGGAGGGAAATTTCTTTATCAGGGTTAGAATCTTACTTGTAAAGTTTATTAGTTGGCACTAATGTCGCTTTCACACGGGTTAGAGTGACCATATCATGATAAATAAAGAAAAGCGCCTGTGGCAGACTTGTTTTGCCGAAATTGTGCTGTTGAAGTATATGTAATATAGCCTATATGTCATAATTTGATCCTCTGTTAGGATCCATTTAAACCTGCAAACTGTTACTTGACATCTATCAGAAATTTAGGCTTCCCGTTAACGACTAAATCCCTACCCCTTGTGTTCCAGCGAATAACAAAGAGGCCTATATTAGCAGTGGATTCAGACATTTGTCGACCTTTCATGACTGTCAGTTTGCTCATACTGATTACGTAGAAAAGAGGTACAAAGAGCCAAAAATGTCGAGAACCAGGGAGCTGCACCCAGTGGCGTTTAGATCTATCCACTTTAAAAAGGCCCCCCCCCCCCCACACTTCCAAATGTTTAATCGTTTTACATAACGAAAGGATAACCTGCCCCCTCCTCCCCTCCCCACCTTGAATTATTTTGTAGCCCCTGATAGGCCCCTGACCTTGGTCTAATGTTTCCCACTGGCTAGGCCTGTGTGGTTTTCGTAGGTAGCTGAACTTTCAATGGGGATCGTTTGTAAGTCAACAATTTGGATTAGAGCGGATGATACCATAACGATTGGTAGATTATATAAATAAGAGAACGGATAAGCATATCAATTATATTTAGTGATTTAATGAACGATAACTAATATAGTGTAATATAAGTAATATGATTCATAATTTGCTTTCGTGTAGGTCTAATTATATAGACTATCTAAGTAACGTTATACAATCTTCTAACTATCTTATAAGGCATATAGGCGTCTAAAAATGACAAACTCTGTATATTTTGTATTCTGGGCAATATGATTAAAATTCTTTTTACGGTGTACGACGTTTTTGATGGGATTAAAATGTAATCTAGGCATTCCTGTTCGTGTTTTTCCTAAGTTGGACACAGAAAAAAGAGAAACAGCATCTATAGATCTGCATCCTAATTAGGCTGGAATGATTCGATTGTAGATGAACCGAGCGCCAGATTTTGTAGGATATCTGACCTACCTCCCCCCCCCCCAGTTACCCCCAGGCTAAAAACGTCTGGGTAGCAAACCAACACAAAGTCAACCCTTGAAAACACTGCCAATGACACCAGAATTTTCTAATCCTGATGAGAATCCGAATCTATGGAACATAATATAGCAGACGAAAATCGCTACCATCCGAGTTTTTCATCTAATAAGCATGCCCTTACCAGGAGATGATTGGCACATGAGTCTTATTAAGTTTTATTTTCTAATATTACGTCTACTTCTAAATGTCATTGAAAGATAATAATGTAACATTTGTATTAAGAGGAAAGGAGGTCATAAAAACTGCTACGAAAAGCACTGGCCGAGGTCACAAATAAAGAGATCTGCTAGATAAAAAAAAGAAATAAGGTGTAGTTTGTCTAGTATTGCAAGATCAGATCATTTGTAATGTTATATACTGATAAGCATGCCGTGCCTTGAGGCCAGTTAGTCAGTCATTATTGTAGCTCTTTGTTAAACATCCTTTGCAGTTAATTCTATTCATACTGCAAATGTGCAAATGTCAGCGATTGATAAAAAGTATAGTTATAACTATGCACAAATTCTACCTTTTTTAATCAAGCTAGTCGCCAATTAGTCTTTTAATGATCACCTTGACTTTATTTATTTATGATGTAAAAGAATGCCTTGCCTTGGGGATGAATTAGTCAGAAATTACGGTAGCTCTTTATTAAATTACCCCCTTACTCTATCTTATTTACAGTGTGCAAATGTATAATTGAGAAAAATTCGATATGTCTTTTTCCAAAAATCGCCCACCCCTCCTGTCTCAAAGATACTTCAGCATGCTCCATCATGTTAGGAGAGCAATATTGTGGGCATGTTTTCAAAGCCAAATTTAAAATCTGTAAACAAAATCACTGAAAAATGTAGAGCGTGCTTGCATAATGTTGTTCTTTTAACTCTTATGTTTTATTTTGTTTGACAGATTTCTGTTTTGCTAGACAGATGTGAATGACTCATCTTCAATGATGAATCGAACAGGCTCAAGTTTAGGATAGGTTTAAACAAAGCAATACTTATCACAACATGAAATTTCACGAATCAAACAGACCCAATCTTACATAAAATATTTCATTAGTGCCGAAAAATTAATTTTGAAATCTTTGGAAATTTAAAAGTGATTGATTTTGTCTAATTTATTGATAATAATCGATATTGAAAGTAACGAAGGGTACGGTTAAGATGTTGAATTCGCCACTAGAGGGCGATAGAGAGCTAATTATGTAGGTGAAGTCGGGGTTGAGGCTGGAATCTTTTGTCACAATGGCGGGATACTAAAGGCGCACATGTCTTCGTTACAACATTTCCAAGTTCCACAAAACTAAGTAAGTCGAGTTTTTCTTTCTTAGGGGGGAAGAAATTGATTTAGAGTATTGGGAAGAGCTCATGTAGAAAATTCAAAGGTCATTTCTTGACATTTAGTCGAGTTTTGAAAGGATTTTGTGATTCTTTGTGTGTCGGGTGTCGATCATGGCCGAGTTATTTCTATCCTAGACAATGGATTGCCGAATAGATGTGTCATTCTCGTTAAATTAAACATATTTGAATGGTGATTTTCAATGGAATAAATCGATATCTGATTTTTAGAATCGTAGATGTGAATTTGATGGGTGAGTAGTGTCAAATCAGGAATTTTTCGTTTGTTTTCTTTTGTTGTCCGAGAAAAGTTCGTTGTCTGCTTGTATAATTGGACTTCATTTTAGGACAAGTTACTACTTGGTGCAACAATGTTGCATTTGTGACATTTATTTAGTTGTTTGCTTTTGTCGTCAGGCAAGAAGTTTGCAGTGTTTAAACTCGGTAAAGTTTTGCAGATAGCATGTGAATCTCGCTCGAATATGGGGCTGTGAATCACGCACTTTGCTCTAACAATGGATCCCGATGTTTCTTAAAATAGCATCAAGAGTTAGCTGTCGTCAGAGTGAGAAAACTCAAACAATGGAAATCTCCGCTGCTCTTGTTTGACTGGGGTTCGACAAAGTTCACTCTTCAAGTCAAGGTGGTAATTGGTTCAATAATGGGAAGAAGGGAAATAAAAGGCTGTGTGAGAAAAAACCTTGAAGTTTCTCGTCAGTTTAGTAAGGTGTTATGTCATTTAAAAAGTATGTCAAGTTTTTATTATACTGGCTTTATCAGCTGATTACCACATATTTAGTAAGTAATTATATAGGCTTGGTTATTCAACTGGTATATAACTTATGTCATGGTTGTCATCATGGCTTCTGTTTATTACTGATTTGAAATTACATTGGCTAGGTGACCAATATGAGTGTTTAGTATGCAATGATAAAGGCATGGATAACAAGATATTTCCTCTGTTATGATACATCAGTTGTAGGCATTTATTTACGACATAAATCATGGCTTCTGTTTATTATAGCTGATCATATATAAGCAGTCAACAATGATATAGGCTACGTTGAACAATTTAATTCATGAATCCTATATATAATTACTGATTATCAAAATTATAT